AGCCGAGCTGATTGTTCCCTGGCCTCATATAGAGCAGCCTCTAACCTGAGGCCACTGGACACACTGGCCTCTAGTCTGCGTACCAATGCAGTAGTCTGTCAACACAACAGTGACATTCAACAGTTAACCAAGATACTAAGGTAACTTCCTCCTGCAGCCGAGCTTTTTGTTTCCTGACCTCATATAGAGCACCTCTACCTGAAGCCACTGGACACCCTGGCCTCTAGTCTGCGTACCAATGCAGCAGTCTGTCAACACAACAGTGACATTCAACAGTTAACAAGATACTAATGTAACTTCCTCCTGCAGCCGAGCTGATTGTTCCGTGGCCTCATATAGAGCAGCCTCTAACCTGAGGCCACTGGACACACTGGCCTCTAGTCTGCGTACCAATGCAGCAGTCTGTCAACACAACAGTGACATTCAACAGTTAACCAAGATACTAAGGTAACTTCCTCCTGCAGCCGAGCTACCTCTACCTGAAGCCACTGGACACACTGGCCTCTAGTCTGCGTACCAATACAGCAGTCTGTCAACACAACAGTGACATTCAACAGTTAACCAAGATACTAATGTAACTTCCTCCTGCGGCCGAGCTGATTGTTCCCTGGCCTCATATAGAGCAGCCTCTAACCTGAGGCCACTGGACACACTGGCCTCTAGTCTGCATACCAATGCAGCAGTCTGTCAACACAACAGTGACATTCAACAGTTAACCAAGATACTAAGGTAACTTCCTCCTGCAGCCGAGCTGATTGTTTCCTGGCCTCATATAGAGCAGCCTCTAACCTGAAGCCACTGGACACACTGGCCTCTAGTCTGCGTACCAATGCAGCAGTCTGTCAACACAACAGTGACATTCAACAGTTAACCAAGATACTAAGGTAACTTCCTCCTGCAGCCGAGCTGATTGTTTCCTGACCTCATATAGAGCACCTCTACCTGAAGCCACTGGACACACTGGCCTCTAGTCTGCGTACCAATGCAGCAGTCTGTCAACACAACAGTGACATTCAACAGTTAGCCAAGATACTAAGGTAACTTCCTCCTGCAGCTGAGCTGATTGTTCCCTGGCCTCATATAGAGCAGCCTCTAACCTGAGGCCACTGGACACACTGGCCTCTAGTCTGCGTACCAATGCAGTAGTCTGTCAACACAACAGTGACATTCAACAGTTAACCAAGATACTAAGGTAACTTCCTCCTGCAGCCGAGCTTTTTGTTTCCTGACCTCATATAGAGCACCTCTACCTGAAGCCACTGGACACACTGGCCTCTAGTCTGCGTACCAATGCAGCAGTCTGTCAACACAACAGTGACATTCAACAGTTAACCAAGATACTAATGTAACTTCCTCCTGCAGCCGAGCTGATTGTTCCGTGGCCTCATATAGAGCAGCCTCTAACCTGAGGCCACTGGACACACTGGCCTCTAGTCTGCGTACCAATGCAGCAGTCTGTCAACACAACAGTGACATTCAACAGTTAACAAAAAAACTAAGGTAACTTCCTCCTGCAGCCGAGCTGATTGTTCCCTGGCCTCATATAGAGCAGCCTCTAACCTGAGGCCACTGGACACACTGGCCTCTAGTCTGCGTACCAATGCAGCAGTCTGTCAACACAACAGTGACATTCAACAGTTAACCAAGATACTAAGGTAACTTCCTCCTGCAGCCGAGCTGATTGTTCCCTGGCCTCATATAGAGCAGCCTCTAACCTGAAGCCACTGGACACACTGGCCTCTAGTCTGCGTACCAATGCAGCAGTCTGTCAACACAACAGTGACATTCAACAGTTAACCAATATACTAATGTAACTTCCTCCTGCAGCCGAGCTGATTGTTTCCTGACCTCATATAGAGCACCTCTACCTGAAGCCACTGGACACATTGGCCTCTAGTCTGCGTACCAATGCAGCAGTCTGTCAACACAACAGTGACATTCAACAGTTAACCAAGATACTAATGTAACTTCCTCCTGCAGCCGAGCTGATTGTTCCCTGGCCTCATATAGAGCAGGCTCTAACCTGAGGCCACTGGACACACTGGCCTCTAGTCTGCTTACCAATGCAGCAGTCTGTCAACACAACAGTGACATTCAACAGTTAACCAAGATACTAAGGTAACTTCCTCCTGCAGCCGAGCTGATTGTTTCCTGACCTCATATAGAGCACCTCTACCTGAAGCCACTGGACACACTGGCCTCTAGTCTGCGTACCAATGCAGCAGTCTGTCAACACATTAGTGACATTCAACAGTTAACCAAGATACTAAGGTAACTTCCTCCTGCAGCCGAGCTGATTGTTTCCTGGCCTCATATAGAGCACCTCTACCTGAAGCCACTGGACACACTGGCCTCTAGTTTGCGTACCAATGCAGCAGTCTGTCAACACAACAGTGACATTCAACAGTTAGCCAAGATACTAAGGTAACTTCCTCCTGCAGCTGAGCTGATTGTTCCCTGGCCTCATATAGAGCAGCCTCTAACCTGAGGCCACTGGACACACTGGCCTCTAGTCTGCGTACCAATGCAGTAGTCTGTCAACACAACAGTGACATTCAACAGTTAACCAAGATACTAAGGTAACTTCCTCCTGCAGCCGAGCTTTTTGTTTCCTGACCTCATATAGAGCACCTCTACCTGAAGCCACTGGACACCCTGGCCTCTAGTCTGCGTACCAATGCAGCAGTCTGTCAACACAACAGTGACATTCAACAGTTAACCAAGATACTAATGTAACTTCCTCCTGCAGCCGAGCTGATTGTTCCGTGGCCTCATATAGAGCAGCCTCTAACCTGAGGCCACTGGACACACTGGCCTCTAGTCTGCGTACCAATGCAGTCTGTCAACACAACAGTGACATTAAACAGTTAACAAAAAAACTAAGGTAACTTCCTCCTGCAGCCGAGCTGATTGTTCCCTGGCCTCATATAGAGCAGCCTCTAACCTGAGGCCACTGGACACACTGGCCTCTAGTCTGCGTACCAATGCAGCAGTCTGTCAACACATTAGTGACATTCAACAGTTAACCAAGATACTAAGGTAACTTCCTCCTGCAGCCGAGCTGATTGTTTCCTGGCCTCATATAGAGCAGCCTCTAACCTGAAGCTACTGGACACACTGGCCTCTAGTCTGCGTACCAATGCAGCAGTCTGTCAACACAACAGTGACATTCAACAGTTAACCAAGATACTAAGGTAACTTCCTCCTGCAGCCGAGCTGATTGTTTCCTGACCTCATATAGAGCACCTCTACCTGAAGCCACTGGACACACTGGCCTCTAGTCTGCGTACCAATGCAGCAGTCTGTCAACACAACAGTGACATTCAACAGTTAGCCAAGATACTAAGGTAACTTCCTCCTGGAGCTGAGCTGATTGTTCCCTGGCCTCATATAGAGCAGCCTCTAACCTGAGGCCACTGGACACACTGGCCTCTAGTCTGCGTACCAATGCAGCAGTCTGTCAACACAACAGTGACATTCAACAGTTAACCAAGATACTAAGGTAACTTCCTCCTGCAGCCGAGCTGATTGTTTCCTGACCTCATATAGAGCAGCCTCTAACCAGAGGCCACTGGACACACTGGCCTCTAGTCTGCGTACCAATGCAGCAGTCTGTCAACACAACAGTGACATTCAACAGTTAACCAAGATACTAAGGTAACTTCCTCCTGCAGCCGAGCTGATTGTTTCCTGACCTCATATAGAGCACCTCTACCTGAAGCCACTGGACACACTGGCC